GAGCATCCTCAATTCAATGTCCAGACGAATCCTTCACCCCCAAAACTATTATATACGCCACTACCTGCAGATCAAAGGGGTTAGCAGTCGCAAGATACAAAAATAAATTCTGTTATTTCCCTATCTCATGCTAAGGGACATATTCGCTTCACGATACTATATGCCAAAAAACCGTACTCTCCTCTCTCATTATGTTTTAACAACTGCGAATGTCCTGATTGGGCATCTCACTGCTCGTTCCACACTGGATCAATCACAACCAAGTCAGAGTTACATTCAATACCCCTCATCTTCTCCATTACCGGCCAAGCTTCGTTTGCTCATTTAAGGCCAACAACAGTTGTGACTCAGTAAAACGATTAGAAACATTCAACCAAATACAACTATTTGACGACAATGTTTTACTAGTTGAGAACTTGACAGTAACACTAAAGGAATATTTGACCTAAGGCGACCTACTTTGCATTGATCATAAAGGATGGAAACGGCTAGCATCTCCCGGGAAAGAGATTACTGGCTCCCCATGGTTCTGTAAAAAACACAAGTGTCGAGAACCCGCAGACTATTTTGCCTGTACGACAATCCAATCGCTCTTCTCCTCATAAACAGTACGACAGAAAAGGATTCAATACCAATAAAGGCTTGGGGTCCCATCACAAAAATTTAATTCGAATTCATCGAATCTCTCCGTGGTACCTGAATCTACCAAACCGCTCATGTTCCAAAGGAGGTATATCTTTAAATGAAGGTTGCAATAGCGAAGTCATAGAGGCATGCATCGACCAGTATTGCATTTTCAAGAAAAATGCGGTCTGCTCACAGATACCCTTTCCCAACACTCTTATTATGTACGACTACCACGTCTCTATAAAAACCTGATCCCAAAGCATCTGTTCTGCCCAGCACAACCTATTTGTGAAACAATGCGATGCATACTATGCTGGGAGCGATTCTACAACACCCAATGCTGGACTTACACACAAACTATACTGGTCGTGATAATTCTTTTGATATTTTCTTATGGATCTATACGACTATCAAAACTCTGGCTTATTTGCTGCGATCTATCAAGTACCTTTTCCATCATATCTGTTTTGTAGATAAATTGCCCTCCCTCTTCAACAAACGACGACCAATACGCACTTACATCGACCCCAGGAAAAGACGTCGCAAGCATAATATATCTACATGTCTTGCTTTGCTATGTTTGCAAATTCCATACGGATACGGATGCTCGCAGACCACCTCCATTACTGCAAATGAAAATATTTGTTTCAAGAATAGAGACAAGGAAACCTGCACCTTCAACGAAGCCACGATGATCACATTAAAACCATTACAACAAGAGTCATGTCTAATCCTTAACAACTATAACAATCAACCAATTGGTCTTCTGACCATCAAAGTTGACGGAATTGACTTCGAATGCCAGAGGGACGTACAATTCTACGCTAGAGACCATCAAATACTATCCGAATTGTCTCGCAGGAAGTACTTGTTTGCTGAGATATTATCTTCAGATCATTCGCGGCAACGTGTAATTGTAGGGTTGACCCGATAGCAGCCTTTGCATAAATTGCAATCTGTTCTGAGGAGATCATGAAATTTTTCGATATGTGTGGAAGGGGTAAAGCTTTCATCAGTTGTGTCACGTTGCCTGAGCTGCACGTGCAGGAGGCCCTTTTGAGTGTAGTGGAGCACGAACAGGTCCTTATTGAAAAAGCGCAGTCGAAGTTTTTTGCCTTTATATATGATGCACATTGGAGCTGTCCTGCACTTCTAGGATTGAGTTGTCCTTTATGTGCAGGTTGAATAACCGATATCCTTTTGGGACGTACAATTCTACACTAGAGACCATCAAATACTATCCGAATCCATGCATCGTTGCTATCTCGCGGAAGCTGCGTTAGAAACGCATGCGAAAATACCTCACCTACTACTAAACTAGAAGAAATTTCTAAGACAGCCAATCAAAGCTATGGATACACCTTTTGTACTGTTGCGGATGCATCGCTTGCGACGGTTGTTTTATGTGTCAACCAAGCTGCCTTTTTTATCGAGTAT